GTGGGGGAACTGTCGATAGGCAATGCTGCCATTGGCTTGTCTGCTGCCTTCACGAGGTCAGGGTGGCGGCTGGCTTGCTATCACCAGGACTTGGGTGCTGGGGGTTGCGTGGAAGGCTGCCAGAAGGCGGCTGACTGGCTCCGCCTGTGGCCAAAGCCGTTTGCTGCTGCTGCGACGCTGACGACGACGAAGACTGAGGTGCTGCACCCGTGGGTGGGTTGAAGTTTGAGATGCAGCTGCGCGCAACAATTGTCACAATGCTGTAAGTTGATGAAAAAAAAACCAATTCGTTACGCCGTCACTAATACAACCAAGGTGCAACGCTCGATTAAATTAAAGCAAAACAAGTTTACTCACTCCTCCATATCCTTGTGGCATCGGGCGAACTCATGCTCCCAGAAACGGTACACAGGGTTGCGCAAAAGTTCAGCTGACGTCATCAAAAGACCCCATGGGTGAGGACGATTCACAATCAGACGCTCCATCAACACACGACTAATCTGCTCCTTCACCTGCTCCTTCGACTGCTCCGCAAACAGGTAGAGGATCGTGTACGAGAAGTAGTACGTGTGCGAGTTTGGGTAACGTAGCTGATTCGCCATGCAATTGAGCAGGAGGTAGCGACCTGGAGAAATCAAGTAACCACTACTCATTTCACATATCCAAGGAAGACATACAATGATCCCCTGCCCACCACCTACCTTCATTATCAAGATTAAGAACAAGCGACTGAATAATGTCCATCTGTGGAGTGTGCGCTACTGTTGTCATATTCAGCGGCATGCCGGTCTCACGCAGAGTCTTCACTGCAGTGATGCAGATGTACAGAACTACATTCATCATCAACTCGACGTTGTAGTGGAGATTGTCAGCTAGGCCGAAGGTGGAGAGATGTTGGGTGGCGCGGGCAGACCAGAGCATGGCGGCGTTGGCCTGTTGGCCAGCCGCAGACAGGATAGCCTGTTGTTGAGCTGCCGCCGCAGCAGCCTTCGCAGCGGCCGCCTTCTTCGCCTTCTTGCCCTGTGGTTGAGGTGGGGCCTCCTGGGACACCGCCTCACCCCCGTCGTGCTCCCCTCTCGTCGTCTGAGTGGCGGCGGTGGCGGCGGCCAGAGCCGAGGTGTAGAGTCCAGGAGGATTGATGAGGAATGTGAGGAGAGAGTCGGTCAGGCGCAGCATAGTTACGAGTTCGGAAAGCAATTTAACCGGTGCGCGGCTTGTCAGGTACGTGTCGATTTCGCCACGGAGAATGGGTGGCAGTCTTTCACCGGCTTCCATGCAGTATCCCGAGGGATCCTCCAATTGACTCAGCTGGTCCACGGGTGGTGCCTTAAGAGAATCAATGCGACCAATCAACAAATATTAATGCAACACAAAACCAGCAATAACCAGGCTGATTTAACTAACAATGATTCTAGACACATGGTAGTGACGCGAACTCACGTTCAATGGGTCAGTTGAGGGAACACCTCGTCTGGGTTCTGCAGAAAGAAGCAGATTCCTCAGCTGGAGAGAATCCGATGGCACGATGTTGCTCAAGAGCACACAGTACTCCGTCACGAAGTCAGGGAAGTCGTGGAAGAGAACCAGACACAGCCGGAAGGTGGCTGTGTACAGGCAGGCAATAGGCTTCGGCAACAGAGCATTCTGGAGGTAGAATGAGAGGAATTTAAGAATGTCGACTAGCAGTTGAGCGTAGACAGCACGATAGGCTGCACGTAAGGTGGGCGACACGCCGTCTTTCCTCGATGCACCCAGGGTTTGGTCCACAAACTCCCGATGTGCCACTATCTCGAGCCACGCGAATATGAAGTTGGTTGCCCGCTCTGGTCGCAGCATGTGCAGCAGATTGCCATACGCCAGAGGAACATACTCCAGAAGAGTAAGACCTGTCGACTCCTCACCCTCGCTACGACCTGAAGATGTCTCCTTCACGCTCCCACACATTGCGTACAGGTCTACGAACAGCCTCACCAGGATCCGTTGGAAAGGCATCGCGTGGAACAACTCCGGTCGCACTTCGTGGCCCTGGAGAAGGGTTCCGCCGATTATGCCTAGCACCTTGTTCAGCAGAGCAAACTAGGTCGTAAGGAAGACCAGCGATCTATTAGTAAGCCGCAACTACGACAAACATGCCAGACACGGATGTAGGAAAGCCTACCTTTGCACGGTTGCCTTCAGTCGCGGTCTCGCTTCTCGCACCGATCCGAGAGATAGTTATGCTGATGAGACGCGCATACGCATCCAACTCATAATATCCGTTGACTCTGGTCGCAGAGGAGAAATTGGGCGGAGCCTGCTCTGCAATCTTAAGAGTGCTCAACGCTCGTTCCACCACGTAGATAGTTGCCAGTCGAAAGAATCTGGTCAAGTTTTCGTCCACAGACAGAACACCAAGGTTCGCGAGGTTATTGATCACCTGGTCAACCAGCGATTCATTCTCACAAGTCACGTTCTGATTGCGGTAGAAATCCGACCACCAACGGAAAAACGTTTCTGTCTTGGCCTTCATTTGCGGTGTATCATCGAACTCACGAGCACGAGAGCACCCAGCAAAGAGAGCACTGGTTTCCGGCGCAGTGGGAGGACACAATGTAACAACCGACTGCTCCCCCAAAAGACCCCAGTCAAGCAGCGCTCTGATGCGCGCGCACGACAGTCGCAAGCGCAAATTGGTGTCACCGGGTGAGATGAGGGTGTTGCGTTGGTGTGCCTGGAGTGCATGGATGGTAAGCCAGAAGTCGTATTCATTAAGGACGGTGAACTCTCGTTTGCTGTTTATCAGAGCAAGTGTGTTAGACAGACTGCCAAGAAGAGATGCAACTGACGAATTGGGATTGGCCGTGGGGTTGGACGGGGACGAAGAGACGCCTGCGATCGTGCCTGCCATGGGTGTCGAGGAAGTATCGGTGACACCTTGGCTGGCGGTCGCAGAACCAGATCCAACTTGGTTCACTGACGAAGTGCCCATTAAGCTCGGTAGCACAAAGTGATCGAGCAAGTTGAGGACAAATGTCGTTGCCGCCTGGTGACCTGAGGCGATCTTTCCCGCCAAGTATGCGTCGATCTACAATGAACAACGTACCTCACATACCCACGACTACAACCGTGCGCACAATCTGTACTCAGTCTACGAACCGCAAGCGTTTTGTTTAACTTAACGACCGAACGACTCACTTGGGTTAGGTAAATCACATGAACTTTGAGCAGTTCTGCGAAGGCTTCCCAATTCCACTTGCTTCCAACAATGCCTGCGTCATTGGCCGACGCTTCATCCGAGGCACCTGCATTGCCTGCACTCGAAACCGCAGTTTGCGCAGACTACAGCACGGAGAGAAGAAGCATTCACGTACCAGTAAGCACAAGTGAGCTAACCACATGGGTCGCGGGAAACCAACCTTGGCCATTGCAATTGTTGCTAACGTGGATAGGTGTTCAACTCGCGACGCATACGACGCCGGTTGGATGTTTGTGCTTGAAGGCTCAAGGTCGCCATCGGGCAGCTGAATCCACTGGCATGTCACCTTCAGTAGGCAAGAACATAATCGAAGTCATTGACATATCGACACGTCATCCTCACTTGCCAACAAATACTGATGTAAGTACATGCGTGCATTTACTTCACTCACTTGTCTGGCAACCCACGAGCTCTGTTCACAGGAAAGAAGGTGCCTCAGGGTAATCATGTGCGCCTCCTTCAGATGCTCCATAGCCTGGAGGCCTCCCGGCTGATCAGCCCATCTGGATGGTCGATAATGCGTCAGCAGAGATTGAACTAGCGTTGCAATCAAGCGCACACCGGCACTCTCGCCACCGGAACCAGAGTTCGATGACGACGTAGTCTTGGCCAGTTGTGCCGACTCAATGAGATTCTGCAGAGATCGGACCATGGGCGAGTCCTGTGGAAATGTGCCTGCGGCGGTGGCTGAGGAGGACGCGAGCCAACTCCTTATGGCTCCCAGGTGTCGTCGAATGTGAACAACAACAGTGTCAAATAGTCCACCAATTGGAGGTGCAGGCTGAAATTCCGATAGTGAAAATGAGCATAAGTGCATAGATGGCGGAAGGGTACCACATCAATGTGACTTCGTGTACCTGTTGCGAGGCAGCAGAAGTACCGGAATGCTGCTGGAGATATTGCTGCTGGGCCTGATGTTGCTGCTGTTGTTGAAGAAGCAGATGGGCAGCAGCTGCAACAGCCATTTTTTGCTGCTGTTGCTGTTGTGAACTCGTCGCTGACGTGTTCGGAGGTGGTTGTTGAGCAATCAGACCAGTGGCGCGTTGCAAAATCTGCTGCTGTGCCTGAGAAGAGGGTTGTGCTGGGACGATGCAGCCCGGTGACAACGAAGCAGCAGCTGATGGTGCGAATCCAGGAATCGATCGCTCGAACTCCTGGTAGACGGTCGGACGCATTGGTCGGAGAACAAACGGCTAGAGGGAATCATGGAAACAATAATAATAACAATAATAACAACAGACAGCTACATACAACAAATTATCATGGGGGTTAGCGCCTCACATGTGACTGAACGCATTCTGGTAGGCTCTGGTGAGCAGCGGTAACTTGCTCCAGAAACCTCCGAGGTCCCAATTCCTGACGCATCTTCACATCTGGTTCGAGCTTCTTTTCCACTTCTCTAACGGCTCGTTCAGCCACTGTCTTCTGCATGTACGCCAGACACACGTGCATAGACTTGCTAACGACAAGCATCGCGATGAACTCCACCGCCTCCTTCTCCTGTTGGCTTGCGGGTTTCACGCTGTTCCAAATTATGTTTGTGAGGTTGTTGCCCAGGGATACGGAGAGGGCTTCACGGGCGGTGATGAGCGACACGCTGGCGGCGAGGTGACGCACCATCTGCTTGGCAGCACGCAGCATCTGAGCTGGATCGGGTTGCAGGGCGAAGTCCTTTCTCACCACGGTTTCCACCGTGGGCACGGTGATGAGGCAACAGCGCTCAAAAAGTGGCGTGATGAGTTCATTGACTGCCTTCTCGATAGCCGGTAGGATTAGCTGGCGAATCGACGGTTCCGAATGCAAAAGAGCCATGGCTGACATGGCAGCTGCTGCGGCACTAGAAGACCCGCCGCCACCACCGGCGTTTTGGCTTGAAGATTGTGAGTATACAGCGATCTGTTGAATTAGCTCGTCAACGTTGATACACGAGCGCACTGTCGCGAGGTCAACGTCCTCGTATCGTAGAAGCAGGCCACCTGCACTGCTGAGAGACGCAGACTGTGCAGCATCTGCTAAGAGAAATGGGACATGGGATGGTTTAAGTGGCATGATTAAAAAGCAGATTTGAAAAAATCTCTTGCAGACATCAACTATGGATAAAAGAGTGAATATGCAGAAGGAGAGCGAATGCCTTGGGGTACCTCTGGGTTGGTGGTGATTCATCATTTGCGTCGCTGACACGACATGGGAAGCGGATCCAGCGCCACCGATGGCACCCGAGGTGGCAGCACCCACGTTGTAGGCAGCGACAGATACCGAAGGCAGCGCTTGTTGCGGAACTCCGGTCATGGGAGCAACTTGTGAGAACATTGGCTGCTGTTGCTGCTGGCGATTTAGCGGCTGCACCTGTTGCTGGGGTTGCTGCTGAGACGTCTGACTAGTAAACTGGTTCTGCAAGGCGACGAGAGCCTACCGAGGCGGAAAGGATAAGACTCAGGCGCATCTCAGGTGCTAGAAAAAGGTTTCTTGCTTCGCCTTATGCAAAATGCTCCCCTCGACCATTGCACAGGGAATTGCACATTAAGATCTCTTCAACTACAGGCAATTCAACATGACAAGGGCGTATCAGGCAACATCGCAACCTCACCTGTTCCCATTTCCGTCGAATATTTTCGTCGTTGGGACCGCCGGCGCCAGCGGAGTAGATGGGATCACCACCACGTTGACCGAAACCAGTTGCAGAGGAGTTCGGTTGAACACCGTCAAGTACTGCACCCTGGAGTGCGGCGACCACGTTCGGTCGACCCCCAGACGTTGAACCGCCGCCAGCGGTGTACATCTGTTGTTGCTGCGCGGCGACGGCTGCTAGTCGTTGCTGTTGGTGCTGCGCAAGAGCGGCAAGAGTGCGCGGGTTGTAGTCAATGGCGGCGGAGTCGTACGGACCAGGCTGCTGTGCCTGTCCCGTCGCCTGACTCACAGTGGCTGGGGAGGGTGGATTTACACCACCGCCACCGCCACCACCCCCGCCGCCGCTGCAACCACCGGCTGAGACAAGAAATATCAGTTGGGTCTCCAAGTTCGCAAGGCGATTGCGGTCGCGCAGAAATTCTGCGGCAGTGATGTTATCCACTGTGTAATCGAATGCCTTGAAGAGAATCTCGATCTAGGGAAAGATAAGATGAGGCCCAAATGAACTTGTGCTTCAACGAAACGAAAACGGCCTCATTTAGATGAGCTAATTACGTGAACTGCAACCTAACAGCCAAGTAGTTGGGCGCTGTAGGCTGGTCGTTGTAACAACACGACAAAAGAAGACAGCGTTATTGCTTGTTAGGTCATTTCAATGATACTGGCGTAATTTGTATCTCACGTGAAACGAGTAGTTCAACGTGAAAGAAGACAGACGCAGGAATTTATCATCATCAGTGCAAGCGCACATTGTGTTAGACAAAAAGAGACGAACACTAAACGGATATGAGCACCAGGACACGGCTTCGTCAATGTCATCAAAGAGGCATGGCAGGACTGGCACCGAACATGAATGAGAGAAATGCACGACAGTGACACAGAAAAACTTACTTCGAATTTAAGCTTGACTTTCACATCGCGCATATCGTAGAGCTCACGAAGAACTTTGAGGATGCCCATTGTATAGGGATTGGGTGGACGGAAAGCAATGCTGTCGACGGCTCCGCGTATCACGTGGGCGACGAAAGGGACGACGTAGAGCAAGGGGAGAGCACCCTTGTAGTAGGCCTCGTAGATGAGGTCCTTTATATTCAAGTCGTCGTGGAGGATAGCTTTATTACGGGCTAGTGTGAATAAGCCCAAGAAACGCCCAAGGTTCTTTAATGACGATCGAGATTGCGTGTCGTCCATGTCCGTTCGTATGCTTCGCAGAATAGCCTGCATGTTTAAACGCAAACTCATTAACCCCAGCGCATAAAGCATCAAAGCACAAAATTGCAACAGCCTGAGAAGAAGACGAAGAAGAAAGAGAACACGAAGAAGGAGAAGAAGAAGAAGAGGAATAAGAAGAAGAAGAAGAAGCGTTACCTACCTTAATGCTCCGTATCAACTCAAACAGGACACGCGGACGGACGTCAGGCAGACTGGCCTGGACGGTGTCGATAACGGAGGCGAAGATGTCGTGGAACGACTGCTCCACAGTGATGCGCTTACATACTAGGTAGTAAGCAAACCAAGGAAGCAGAGACTCCTGCAGCAGTCCACATAGCTCTTCCGATTTCTCCTTGGCATTGGTTTTGGAGACATTGTTAAAAAGGAAGTAAATTCTATCGCAGATGACTTCATCGGGGGCCTCAGGTGGAATGTACTCCTGGCTTAGAATTCCGGGTGCTTGCTGCTGGTTATACGACTGCAAATCCTACAATCGACGAGGCAGAAGCACAAGTGAACAAATAAAGGTGCAAATCTCAACGTGTAGCAAGCAAAAATGTGTCCAGCGCTCACCGCAATGTGCCGCACGATCGGACGATAAAACAAACGCGCACGTAACCAATTCTCCATGATTGTGTGAGCAGATGAGCCGCTAGCGCCGCTTAAATAGGCCAAGTGAGCTTGAGTCACGGCCAATGACCTTCGACCTTTAACACCGCACACAGGCTAGACACACCACAATTTGCGACCAACCAGCGTCTACCAATCCGGCGACACTATTGGTTCGTTAGGAGTGACACTAACACACACACACACACACACAACAGAAATGAATCGCAGACTGCAGATAGTTTGATTAGCTATTGACTAAAATAGCTTGTAATCTGCTTTCCTTGTCGAAATGACACACATTTGGGTGAAAACATGACACCGGCTGCAGCAAAACGGAATTACCTTGAGTGATTGCGAACCCGTCAAATGCGCGTGATGGGGAGCGGTTCGTTGGAAGTTTTTGGCAAATGCGTCCGCGCTTAGGATTGCCTGCGTTGGTAGGAAATGGAGCGAATTAGCGATAAGCAAGGTGGTTAAGTGTTATACATTGCCCAAACTCACCTCTCGCAGATCGGCTGGGAATAATTTGAAAATCGGACAGTTTATGAGGTGGCTGGTTAGATTGGCGTAGCGCACAAGGCTGGATGAGAAGAGAAAGAAGAAGAAGGGTAGTTGCCATGGTGATTTTGAAACACTTTGAAACAGGATTGACCGCTGAAGACTTACGTTGGCTTCGCCTTCATTAGAACACGCACGACGCCCGCGTAGAGATGGGAGTCAACCGGTGTGTCGGGTTGGAAAAGGTAGAGTCGTGTTAAAAACGCCCTCCACAGCATCGACAAAGCCGGAACCGAGAGGCTACAATGGCGAGGTGGAAAACGCGGGCAAGTGGACGAGTTAGTTAGCATTTAAGTGATCACTCAGTTTTGGCACATCGTCGCCGGAATGCAACTGCTCAGCGAGCGCTCCAATGCGACCGTGTGAATCAATGGACGAAAACGAGGCAGAATGCTCAACTTACTGACTAGCAACAGTAGCAAGTACACCCCCGTAGAGCTCCGTGATGGGCTTAAGAACGTGCTCGGGGTAGTCGTGGAGGTGACGGCTAACTTCATAGGCAAGCATTCGGAGGATGCCGTCGAGGTACTTCTTCTGGTTGGCCGAGTCACTGGTTGCGTAGTCGTAGGCAACCTTGAGCATCTCCTCTGGTGTGTTGACGGCTTGGAGGAGTTTGACAAAGAACGAGTTGACTTGGAACTCCACATCGGTGGGCAAGTCTAATTCGATGGGGTCGTTGCTGAAACTGAGGTATATCGGGGGAGAAAGAGGCGTGCCTCCGCCGGCACACGGGGGTTGAACTGGGCCAGACATTAGCCCTGTCTGAGGGAGGCGCTGGACTAGGCTGCTTAATCCGACCGCGATGGCAGACTGGAAGGCGAAGAAGACACAAATAGCACCAAACCTACTGCCAAAACAGTAACACTATCAGGTCCACAAATCCCACCCATTCGACCAGGCCTCCGGATGCTGGATTGCAGCTTTCGAAGGCTCAAACAAAACCGATAATCGATAACAGTGGGGACCAACTCACTCTCGCTGCAGAAGCCTCCTTGGGATGAGTCCAAGCAGAGGTTGAGACGGGAGGATGAAGATGGTGGGGTGATGCGACGACGGTGGAGCCCTGGTCTGCGGCGACGCAGCTGCCGGCAGTAGAAGTGCCCGGGAGGCAGTAGATGCGAGCCAAGTTCTGCAGAAAGAAAGCCAACGCCTGGTGCGCCTCGGCGGCGACCTTCGGCGAGACGCAGATAGACGGACTTCTGGAAGGTGGGAAAGGAGGGAGGGGGGAGATTGATCAGTGGGTGAAACGACAACTACACAAGGACTTCATACCCGGTACATTAAGATTACCGGAAAAAAAAACAATAACGGGAAACACCCCTCAAAACGATTTCAAGATGTTCATTAACCACAGATAACATAGGCGTTAATGGGATCAAAATTGTGCGAAAACCGAGGTGGGTTTAGAGAAAGTGAAGCGGCGAGACGCAGTGATCAATGAAGCGTAAAATATGGCCAAAAAGTGTGTAGATGTGGAGCATATTAAGTAAAGGCGCAAAAATCAACCACTCTGATTGTAGTGAAGGCAAGGCGCGAACACGTTTTACATGTGGGCGCGGAGATGACTCATGGCATGATGGTCGTGACAAAACATGGCCCAGTAGGGGGCAGGCAAGCGAAGTTAAGGCTAATTAATCCACATCTGCCACTCACGTTCCGAACTGTGATTGCAAAAATTATTTAACAAAAGGCAATACAATTGAAACCAGACCCACATGAAGACATCGAGTAAGGAAACACGACGCACGAAAATGCCTTCGAGGGTAAAATAACCCCCATGAGTAGCGTTTTTACGAGGGTTTTGGTGCAATATCACACACACACACACACACAACGATGTGGTTTCTTAAAAGCGGATCAGTGCCCTACGCCTGCACAGACTCCGCGCGCGTAAGATAAGTGGAATTAACCGTCATTAGTAAAAGCCTTCTCCAAACGCATCAATCGTGCTAGTGGCATTCACTACTGGTGACTGCGAAAGGCCACTTTTCTCCCGTAAAAATTCTCGGCGAAAAGAGGCAAAAGTAACCGTGCCACAACTATTTGGCGAGTTAGAATAGCCACGTGACAGTCGACAAGGCAGAAACAGACACCGGCGGTGCTCACAACCACTTAATAAACATCAACAAACGCGCCGTAGCGAACGTCCTCGCGGAAAATGTGCGTGACACGTAGTCGTGTCATTAAGGTTACGTGTATGTCGTGATGCGATTGGCCATGCACTGCCCAATGAACAACGACTTCGGTCAGAGCTCGCACCGATAACCACACTAAGGGCTGCTTCACACTGGACGTACAGCACTGTGGACACTGACAAGCTGGAGTTTACAGCAAAGTAACCCCAGTTGGTCCAAACTCCGACCCGCAAAATTAGCCGTTAAAACTGCAGATACGAAGAAAGACTCGTTCCTCGGCGAAGCTGACATGTAACCGTGGATTTCTTCCGCGTAAAGCCACTAGTTCACGTCGTATGGGCGCTAAGTACAACCTAACGTGAATCATTTACGAAAAATCACTCGATTTGGCCAGGACCTTCCCACAGGCGTGCGCCAATTATTCTACCTAAACCTCCGCCCAATTTTAAACGGTTTTAAGAGAAACCAGGCGCGTTTTCGGCTGGAGGGCGAAACACCGAGGGTGGGTGATGAAAACGCACGACGAATGGGGCCCGACACAGGGCCGGCGGATGCTGAGGTGACGGGTGACTCATTGCGTGTGTGGCCAAGGCGACTACGGCCGATTGCGGGCAGAATGCGCCGCCCGAAGACACGGGAGTTTTTGTCACCACAACACACGACGCAGCGACAACGCCTGGAAGCTTTCACCAGCCATGGAGAGGGTGAGACGCGAGAGGAGTACAAAAATCCACGACGGTAAACGTAGCAACGACACCAGGAATCGAGTGCAAAAGAAGGAATTTATTAGGTGGCACGGCTTCTCAGAACACGGCCAAATGAACATTTTGGTGAAAGCGATCAGCACAAGAGCACGCCTGGCGCCAATTGAGAATTAAACAGATTTAAAAAAATGAGAAGGACACTTGTCGAACAAGACTTACACAACAATTAATTAGATTTTAGGGAATGTTAACTTGGGGTCAAATAATCCAGTCGTGGGTAAAGGCGGCGGTCGTAAAACTCCAACAAATCAGAAACACGGCGAACAAAGGACGCAAGAGGCGCGCACGCCAGTGTTAAATCCACACGAGAGGCAGCGGCGACGGCGGCGGCGGTGGCGATGTCGTCGTCGACTCCAGAGGTGTGTGCACACGGGAATGCAGGATTTGAAACGACGCTAAGGCGCACACACACGCGCGCACGGCTGGAGAGCGGGCGTGCACGCAGACTATCCCCGAAGCAGCCAATTAGACGGCAGTGTGTGTGTGGCGAGGACAGGCGCGCGTCGAGTGTGCACGCACGCCTGTCAGCCAATCACAACACCAGATTGTACGCGGGCGATCGATAAACTCAACTCACACACACACACGCATCAGCTGATCTTGCGAAATTAAGGTCGCACGTGCGCGCGCGCGCACACGCGCCTCCACTCGACCGGTTACTTTAATTAGCGGAAGACGAGGAAGTGGGACGAGCCTTGATAGGTGCGGTCCGGAAGCGGCCCCGAAGCGGACAACCACAGGCGCCGAGGAGTTGGCGAATTCGAGAGTAGATTAACCAATCAGAGGGCAAACTGACGCGTAAAACGGGGCATTTGAGCAGAAACACTGAACAGATGGGTGGTTTTGCGAGTCGAGCCACTTCTCAAACACCGGTACCGATGGATCGACAGCATGTGCAGTCAAATTTGCCTACCGCCACAAATCTTGCCGCTTTGTACCCAGTCACAGGCATAGCCAATTGTGAAGGAATGCACAAACGACAGCTTGGACCACCCGCAGTTGCCGTGGTGACGCATAGCTGATGATAATGGCTTTTAGTTAATGGATTTTACTAGTGCAGATGGAGAACCACCACATAATCTTGCGAAGAGAGGGGTGGCACTTACGAACTGGCGACTAGCCTTACCGATGCTGCATTGCACTTTCCGATAATCGAGAATCTTTATAGCGTTAAACTTACACGAGTGCCATTCAAGACCGACGCTGGGTAGAGGAGCATTAAAATTGAGTGAGTAAGCGGAGAGTCAAGTCGAGTAAGGATTAAAATCTCATGAGGAAAATGCGACAGGTGCCGACCTGAGGGCCTTCCGAGCGGAGTTGATGACGTGCCGGATGAGAGCGTAGCCGGGCTGACGTAGGTGATCTGGGAGGTGTCGATTGGGATCTGCGACGGTTGAGGGCAGGGGCGGAGGCGGTGCTTGGGTCGATATGGGCATCGCGGGCGGCGCTAGGGCATCGGCCAGAGTTGGGTAACGCCTGCGTAGATAGTCCACAAGTTGCACGCAGAAAAGGTCCTATACATGGCAAGAGTGACAATCGATAAGGAACTTAACTGCGTAGTTACATGTAGCACAAAGTAGGGGAACCTACTACATCCTCCTTTTCGCCCGTCATTTGTTCCACGAACCAGTTTGTGAGGAAGGAGTCAAGAGAGGATTGGATTGCGGATAATTGTAGCTGGCGGTGTTGTGAGTGCCCCTCACTACTGGCAGCATCCATTAGCGTCTTCACCGCGTCCACCATGTAGACAACAACACAGAGGGCCAAGTCGAGGAGCAGAGGCACCGGAGGGGGTGCGAGGCGGTGTACCGGCGAGCCCTCGCAAGACTCAATCGCGGACACGTCCACGGTGGGCCAGAGTTGGCAGACCGCGATGGAGACGGGGCGGTTGCGCGAACCAAGGAGCATGGCCAGGGGCATGACGGGGTTGCCTTGGATGCGCATTACCACCTCGATGAGATTGAAGAAGGTAGGCTGAGGCGGTGTGTCGGACGCGGGCTCAAGGTTGGAGTTGTTGAGGCCGTTAATGTTGCACGTCCAGGAATGCATCAGTTGCAGGGCAGCCGCCAGCAGATGGCCTCGCAGGAGTTGGCGTTCGCAAGCACTTAGGTTTTTCTGAATAGAGCAAAATTGAAAGAGGCTAAGACGATGCACATCGGTGAGTCGCAGGTTCAAGAAACGAGCCAAGTCAACATCACTGGTGGACGGGACTGACCTGGCAACCGCTCCAGGCAGTCTGCAGGAGAATTTGTGAATTCGGTCGCGGTAGGAGGAAGCGCGCGAAGGCAAGCGACAGCATCGAACACTTCAACGGAGGCATGTGCGGCTGAAATCAATCACACAAATAAATCAGTTTAAAAGTGGCTAATCTACGGATCATTCAACAACGACAAAGTAGCTTGCGTCCAATGGGAGAGAAATCGACTGGAAGGTTTGCAGGAAGCGGAGTCATCTTATGTAAGGGAAACTGGATGCTACGAGTTATCGTGGTGTAGTGGGCAAGTCAAGTTGGCATTTAATCGTTTCGTTAAGTCGATAACGTTTCGAGACGTCATCCGCTGGCCGATTTGAGAATACAGTGAATCGTGCCGGTTCACACCCATTAACCCGGTTGTCGCATTCTTCGCCATTCTGACCTCATTTCCACGGCTTCCCCTCGCCGTCTACTTCCCCTCCCCCACCACCACCTGACCTTCAGCCATTTGTACTTTTACAGGTCAACCCAGGGCGCGTTGATCGACAACCCCATTTGGTCAGACACGTATTTGAGAGCAGTGGCGCGACCAACACAACCCTAGTGATTTTGCCATCACTGCCATCGCATTCTGTGAATTAAACTTGGTATCCAGCTATGTTCGAGATAAGCCAACGCTAAGGAATCCCAGATTTCAAAGTATTCCGAGCTGACCCATCGAAGGGATGCCCTTTTTGTACAAAACTGACCGACGTTGCCGGCCTACTTGCTGACGAAGAGTCCTAAAAACTAGTTACTTCTACACCGTCCGCCTTCATCCTGCGCTTAATTTGAGTGCTGCCGATCGATGAAAAGCCGAAGTGGCACCCGACGGAACTCACCGTTTCTAGGAGGGTTGCTGTGAAAATGTCCGGACAGAGATTGAAGGCGCGCATGAAGAGACCCCGAACCTCCGCGAAGAGACCGCGTGTCGAGATGTTCAGCAGCGCTTTCACGTAGTCCACGTTCTTCCTGTGAGAACACGAGGTTACTTTCACGCGAAAATGCTACACTCGTGGAAGCAACAGTTAGCGGTGCTGGTGAGTGCTACAATGCTACATCAAAAGGCCCCCAAGGAAGGCCTGCCAAACAGACAACGAGCAACTACTGAATGCTTAGTGGACGTTAAACAATGCGTAGCCTGGACAATCAATTCACCAGATCTGCACGGCGGCGCTCTTGTCCTCCGAGCTCAACTTAAAGCCCTCGAGGTCCACACAGGTGAACGGCCAGTAGGTGAGGCAGTTGGTGTCGGGGTGGAGCGAGCACTGCTGGAGGAAGGATAACTGCCCTGGCGCGTTGTTCCACGGTCGATAGAATAGCTCCACTGGCAGCTCGTGATCACGCGTCTCGTAGAGTAGGAAGCGCTTCAACAGCATGAAACCCGCGTGGTCTTGTACGTAGAACCGTGGACAGTCCAATTCGAGAATGATCTGTGTCGGTGGAAGGGTAGAGAAGATTAAAAGACAACAGGCTACCTACTACCACATAATAAGTAATGCGACATACCTGGTAGAGAGAAAGGTTCGCGTTGAAGTCGTGGACACCGGCAAGGAAGTTGTCCAAGTTCCACTCGTTGACGTCCTCGTCAACTTAAACAGACAGTAAAGACCATTTACTACAAGCACTAATTGTGAGATACGCGGGAGTGCGGGGAGCCTCACCACGCAGGTTGTCCAGACGTCGGTTGCCGGCACCGGGCGAGTTGCAATTGGTCGAGAGAAGGTCAGTGAGGTTCTCGGTCTGGTGATGACTCGGCGGTGCCTGTCCCCGCCCACTGGCCGTCTGCATGAACATGCACAGACACCTGGCCACTGCGGCCGGCGTCACATCTTCCGGCTCGAATTCTGACAGCACCAGCTTCACCGCATCCAACCTGTAGATACACACACACACACAAAACGCTCGACCAATAAGTTTGCCCCTGTATTAGAGCCGCCTGATTTAACCAAAGGTGGCTGAGGAAAAGGACTACAGGCATAGCAATTTGATGGTACCATTACAGGAAGTCGATAAAACGTGAAACACTTTGAAATGAAGTGGGCGCTTTGAAGCAGTGGCGAGACATACGTGGAGGTGGCAGCGAATCCTAGCTCCTCAATGACATCGGCAAGGAGCGAGTCGCCGACTTCGTGAGTCCTTCCAACATTGGCGGCAACCGCGTCGACATTCTCCTCGGCCAATCGATCCACGACGGGACAACTCGGGGCTGTTAGAGCACGCAACAGACCGCTGTCGGGAAACCAGGCCTCCGAGGTTAATTCCTCGTCGGCGTCGTTGGTGTTGTCATCGCTCGAAAGAGAAAGGCAACAGGAGAGTACCAATGGCACACGGGAATCTTGGAAGCCTGTAAATGCGAAAAAATAGCACAGGGCAAGAGCAGTGAGCGAGGGCACACATTTGATTGGCCGAAGCTACACACTTAATCAGTGGACAAGAGTTCAATAATCGGGTTGTGATTGGCTAATACATCCGTCGAATAGGCGAAAGAGCCTACGTCAGGGTAGCTGAGTACCTACAGAGGTGGCGGGTGGCTGAGGTCAGCCTTCATCAAGTACACAGGTGACGCAAGGCATTTACTGCTGATGTGGGTGATGCTAAAAATATCCCTCAACACGTAGCGTGACGCAGCCACGCACACACACACACACACACACGCCAACACAAGACCGTAACCACACAAAAACAGTCGAGATCGCGTGATGCCCGATGGTGTACACACACGCATGCACACGCACACGCACTGATGCCATCGGGATTGTCGTGGTTGAAGCGGGAAGTGCGATGATCGCTTGAACACTCGCATTTCTCACAGTCATTCACTCAAATTACGCGATACGGCAAATTCACCAGCCGAAGACATTCAATTTTTCATGTGGCAGTGCGTCAAGTAATGATCGGGATTACCCAATCCGTAACTGACGTGTCTTATTCGGGATTTTGGATGGCACGCACACCATTGTCTCGTGCACGGACGGTGTTCAATGCCGCAAATCTCCGATTTGACTAGAATCCCACCAAACGGATCAGCTTCGATAACAATCGTGACTTGACGTGAACTGTCGTTAATCCTAGCTAATCAACCAAAAGCCAGCCTCACGGTATGCAGTTTTGAAGCAACCAAAGAGTGTGCAACTAGAAGGAAAGCGGATTCTGCATTAGAATTCAGACGAGAGCAGAACTCAACTCGTAAGTGGGTGAAGCGACACGACGAGTTTAATAACTTGGCCCTGGAAATCGCGAATTATTGACACCTACGCGCCAACGCGTCGGAGGGTTTTGGATCCCAAAGCTAACCACAGGATGGTCGATTGGGCCCCCTTAAAGACGACCAATCCAGAGAGCGTATATTTCCAGCTCAGAATTACCAAAAGAACAGACATGGACACAATAGAGAAAAATTTTAAGCTTGTTGTGTGAAAACAGTACTAAGCTGGCCTAATAGGCCTTCACAAGTTAGTAAAGACCATGGGTGGCAAACTACGCAACTAACTGCCGACAGCACAGAATACCAGACGTATATACCTGATTGAAACCAAGATTAAATTAATGCTGTAATACCTTCTCGCAGGACACGACGGAGAGTGGAGGTCGCCACGGGCGTCAAGTGATAGGGATTGGAAGGCAGCAGAAGATGCATAAGTAGGAAATGTAGGACTTCTACTCCAATGTCCTCGAGTAGACCCGTTTTGAGGGTGGCTAATTGTTCCTGCGCCTCGGACAACGAGCATTCTACACAACGGAAACACGCGTTAATTGATTGGGAGTACACGATGGGGGACTCGTGGGTGCAAGTGGCTCACCCTGATTGGCCAGCTCCAGAGGCTTCACGAAGTCGGAGAGGCGGGAGAGAAACCACCTTTGGAAGTGCAAAGACACCTCCGCCTTCGTGGCGTGCGTCAACGTGAGGCCGGCCGCGAGACCAGAGGTAAATGAAACGCTGTTGAGCAACTTCGTCACAATTGCTAACAATGGATGCTGAGCGGAATTTTTCGTCACCGATGATGCACCGGGCTTACCCTGACTCCGATCCTGAACGACGGAAAAGCGGTAAAATCACTGGATGGTAGTATATCAAGACCGCACAAAAGCACTACGTAAACGTCACACATCACACGGACAAAGTAAGTCCGAGTATACGGTTACAATGTGTAATAAGACTCGATCGGTCACACAAAGGTGTGAAATAGTAATCGCTTTTCCGGGAATGACAACACAACAGCAGTAGAAGCAACAACGGAAACTATACACGGGAAACACTGGAATATCGAACTTTCAGAGCTGTCGAAGTGTTTTGGTATTTAGTTGAGCCAACAGGATCGATCGGCTTTGTTTTTCACAGTCGATTTCAGGGGGCTCAAATGCAAACTGAATAAGTGGTCTCTGATCCTAACGATAACATTACCGATTTCTAGCATTCTCTGCATGATTCCCAGTGGTGACATATTGTCAAAATCATCTACGACCTCACGCACTAAAAAACCGACGCATCATGAAGACCTATCTCTATGGATGCGCAGCAGTGTTATCGACTGTACGAAACATTTCAGAAGATACTAACAAGATAGGGCACGAGTCTTCACTTGATGTGAGACTCTTAATTCAGTCGATCCCATGCTTTGAGCGGTTTATTCGATGTAGTCATTTTAGGCTTTGGGCATTGTCTTTTATCTCATACCTCAACCAGAGAGGCAACGTATGATATGGAGACTAACTGGCATGTCTGCTTTCATGAACACTTGAGACAGAAAAATCAAGGAATCCAATTAACCTCTACGCATTACGATTCTAAAACGAGGCACAAAAAATCTACTGGATAAGGTGTCACTGGAGTTATAACTATTAATTGAAACTAGTTGAAACACAAGAACTGGTCAGGGAAACTGATTTCAATCCCATATCAGCACAGATCCACTGCTCTAAGGTGTGCTTTCAAAATCGATGCATCAGATAAAGCTTATGTATATAAATTGCAATGCATGGGGTATGCAGACCTACCTCTGTGGCACTAAGTGATGCTTGGAGAGCGAAACATATTAGCGAAGTAAAATTGGGTTTCAACTGAAAAGATTGCAGCTCCTGTATAAGGTAGGATAACTACTAAAATGACTAGTGTAGATACAGCTAACCTGAGGGGAATCTTTGGAAGACTTCTTTGTATCACATTGCGATAAATCAATATTAGAAAATAAGCTGCACAATAGATGGCGCTCAGTAGCGCTTGAATTTTGAGCACATAACTAAAAATGAGAAAAATAGCAAAATTTAATATACAGGATTAACCCATGCGGTTATCTAAAACAATACAAAAGAGTATACAATTTTTCGACGTATAGAAATGGGCAATTAAGAAAACATATGCACAGCGCAACTACCGTACACATTTCAAACACAAAGGAACACTCAAATAATAACCCCTTTGACATTACCACTAAATTAAGTAAAAAAAATGTCTCGACTAAACTTGATAATCGACAGGCATACTAACCATCCACATGTTACGGAATCAATAATTCTTCGCACAAATAACAGTTTAAAAATCGGGATGGTTGAATTTGTCAACCAAAATTACCTGGTAAATCTCAGCAAAAGCTGCCCTACTATTTTTCTTATTTAATGAGGAAACCAGACAATCTATCTGAAAGATAGATAGTGAGCGGCATTCCGCCCCAGGCATGACCTAAAAACGGGCCACAGTAATTCAAAATGAGTGCCAAACGCTTTAAGCGATTAAATGATCTAACAGAAAAATTAATGTTTGTTCAATTGGATGTTTTTTAAAAAAATCTTTAACTCCCACAATTATATAAAACATATTTGCTGCACACATGCTGGCCCCGTCTGCAGCGCGAATAAAGCTTCCGAACTCTACTGACACACGAAGAATCCAATGATTTATTTAGGTTATTCCACACAGATAGTTTCTGAAAATTCAAAAACTTTGAATGATGTAGGCAAATGATCATGTTAGTTCCAAAAATATTCCTTATTGGTTACATATATTGTTTTAATATTCGGTTACTTACCCCTCATTGAGCAGTAAACTATGTTACATTCGGGTAGCTAATCATAACAGCAGCAATATGTTGGTAACCTAACAGAATTAATCTACTAATAGAGGGTTATAAATATTTTGCTGGAATGATGTCGATTTTTTTAAGCTGAAAACAGAATGTTCGTTTTTTGAAAGCGAATTTTATCATGTTACCTAATAAAGGCTGAAATTTCACTTTTTTGAGGCAGTTATTTCTGACTATATCCGAGGTAAGAACTTGAAACTGTGAATTTACAAAATATGGTGCATTATTATTGGAATCGTTTCCTTAAATGTTATTAACTTAGTGATTTCATAAAAAATATGAGTTGATTAGGTCAGATTCTCATCATTTTTTCCAATCTCTTCTAAACAAAATAACCGTTGCATGTACAGTCTTCCTGGCAAAAAAATTTGCCTAACGCTTTCGAAGATTGCGTACATTAGAAGAGCTGAAATACAAAACTGAAATACCTTACTTTCCGTCCTCGAATTTTGCATGAAAGCATTGCAATCATGTTTTTTACTGGGAAAATTAGAACTGTAGAATTTGTAATTATTTCAGAACCTAATTGGATGAAGAAAACATCGTTCAGATTCGGCTTTAGTTCAAATATGTTAGTTTGATGGTCCTTTTTATTTAATGCTTAAGCGTTTTGTTTAATGTCACATGTTTTGATTTGCTGCACTTAGTGGCTACTTGACCACAGTGTCGTCCTTGTTGTTCAGGGACTTAATCGCACCCACTGAATTTCGCAGTGCAACTACGCAATTCTTCTAATCAATAAATTGCAAAACGAACTCAAAAATGAATTGGTGGATTTTACCTCAAAACATCATTTTTTGTGGCTTCTCGATTGTACGTTTTTGAGTATGGATGAATGAGTTACAAAAATCTTGCCTCATCAAGTCAGTTCAACACTCATTGCACGCTAGCTCCAGAGAGTTCATTTAGCGGGTGCGCATCTATATTCGTGTGCACCTGAATTTCATTTTTATTTTACAATCGCCAATAACTTGCAATTTGAAAATCGAAATGCAAGTAAGATCTGTTTGTCCGATACATCAATAGCCAAATTCACGAAAAATAATCACCACCTGTCTTCGGCGCTCACCAAATCTAGTATCAGGCATTTTTCTGGAGCGCACTGACGCTCTACTTAGGGTCATCATAATGCCAAGAATCACGCAAGTCCTGAGGAAAGGCAAACCACAATTCTTAGTGGGAACGGGATACTAAAACCTGTTTAACACTACAAAAGACCCACTCAGGTTAAACCCAGGCACCCGCTCATGGCGAAAAAAGTAAATCTCGCCATAACCCCAGCTGGACAGTTTATCTTACGGGATCAAGAGAGGTATCCACCGTCGGATTTGACGAAAAAGGGGATAAACTTCATATTGAGGGTTACAAAAAAGCCCAAGTTACAATCCTGGAGTCATTTTAAAACCCTTTCTAAGAGGGAGAATTGTTAGCCGATTGCATGCAGCATACTTTACTTACAATTAAAATTCGCACCTAACAATACCGATTGACTAATAACTTTGCTACCTGTTTCTGACTGATATGAACCCTCTGATTACAAAGAAAGAAAAACAGATCACATCCAATCTACCGGGCTATTGGAAAAAGTCTACACAAAAAGGAGAACGAACACAGGGTATAGTACAATGGAAATGTTCCTCAACTTTGGATCGGGAGAAGCCGTGGGTTCAGCTCATAATCAACTGAAGATCGGGTCGTTTTTGTAGCGCAGGCACTCAGGCTCCTCTAGGATCGTTTCTGTCTGCGCGATGTCGCAGTGAATGGCCTTGATCAAGTGATCTAGAAACAAAAGTCGACACGGTGGTTTATCCTGTCGTGCACCCATGATCGACATTTGGTGTTTCATGGAATGAGGGGAAGCGAATCAGAGGCAAAGCGAATGCAAGCAGGGTTCGTTTAAGTGCATCATTGGTGCGGTTCTTGCATCGTCTTATGCGTTCACAGAAGGGATCTAACAACGGGTACGAAGGCCGAGTCAAGGATTAGCTCAACCACAGACGCATCTGTTGAGAGTCTATCTGGCTGTGGCATCAACTTAGAGCCAAAAGCGAACACCACATTACAAGTCTTACGGCGCCACTAACTAACCAATCACCCTCGACATGCGTGCATACCCCAACAGGTACCAAGAGTTCAACTCCTAGATACCGAACACAGAATGCCGATTCCACAAATATAGGGTAATTTTCTTTTCCACAATGAGCAAGAGGGTGAGGATTAGATCCTACTAAATGAAAGTCTTCTGTTATGGGCAAGTGTTGCAAGGCACAGCTGCGGTAATGGCTCACTTAAAACGACAAGGACTGTCAGGGTAACGGGATGTCCAGGTGTGTCCAGACACCAAAATACAAGGCAGTAAAGGTTTTCAAATGGTTAAAAAGTTCATCAAGTGCCAAACATCAAGCGATTGGAGTTGGTAATGAATTCATCGAGGATGAAAGCCTTGAAAGCGACATGCCACACCACAGAGGTGAGTAGGCCAAATCGGAGTTAAGGCTCGTTTGAATTGGCCTCGTCGCTAGAAATCAGCACAATCGATTCCCGTTCCGAGTCAAAACCTCAATTACCCATTCCAATAGTTCGACAACATAGAGCACACATTTCAACGGTGACGTCAATGTTTTGAATTAGGCAGTTTAAAATTAATCACGGCTTTTACGAAACAGGCTTTTGTAGGAAATCTCTCTCCACATAATTGTCGCATGAAGGTGGGAAGGAAAGGAGAGCCGGGCTTTGATTGGGACGCGCCCAAAATGTAAAACAGTCGTTGAGGGGAATATGAGGGCGTTTGGTGGCGGTGGGTAGGAATTATGCTTAATACCGCAAACACACATGTGGTAATTTACGCATCCCGATGAATGTGCATCCACTTAAAGACGCAAAATACCTAATGGAAGCTCACTAGTATGCAAGTTTAGACAAGCGACCGGGATGGGCAGATGCCTAAAAACATAAATATGCACAATTCTGAATAAAGTGCACAGGTACACTCTGGTCGTGTCGCCGAAACTGTAATTGCCCGTACTGCCAGTGAATTGGTAAAGCCGTCTGGATCGCTAGTAACTGGAGGCAAGGCAGAAAGCACCTTGAAACTGCAGATAGAACTCAGACAGCAGAACATCCTGAGGGAACAAATCTGAACCGGTTTATCGCTTTGGTTTTAACACCGACCGTGTCTTGTTTTGGCACTTTATTTTTTTGTTAATTTGACACGAACAACATCAACCGCTAGCTCCATCACACTGTGAAGGTGTAAAATCGCGCGAAATCAGACTGCCACCGCTTGAGAATCACGCCTTACTAATTTGTTCACACTCTTCACTGAAACACACTAATCTTCATACAAACTAAACTTATCACGCACCCACAGAAATAATCCGAGATATTCATGATTTGCAAAAAAGATGCCGACGAAACACTTATTTCGTGCGTGAAATTAAAACGGCAAAAGCAAACAGTGCGGAAAAAGATTCGTTAAGAGGCAAATTAGTCAAAATGATTACCAGATTTTCTGAGCCAGCGGAACGTATTAGGGAAGTTAGGCTGAAATAGCAGCTGGTGTTAGACAGAGAATAAAGAATGCAATATTTAAGAACGCGATTAGAAAATTATATTGCACTTAAAAGAGTAATGATGATGGCACCACAAACTAGGGAGACCTGCCAGCTTGATTCGCAGACCGCGTAATTGCAACAACACGAAAATTGGAGTAAATATTCGAAAAAACCTACCAATTGATTCAAAATCGGTTTCTGGACGAAGATAACGAAGCACAATGATTTTAAGTCGTTCACCGTAGAAGTCTTCAGGAAATTCATGTAGTATATGTACCTCCTGTAGTTTTAATAGAAGGAAACAGGAGCGTAAGGCAACCAGCTCTTCACAGAGGTGAATGGATAAACTCCAAGATTATCCGGCAACGACGTAAATCAGACTAGTTATCGCAGATATCGTTATGAAATGCATAAATATTAAAATACTAGTGTTCGGAATACCCAAATACTACCAATGTAGCATAATATACGTTAATAATATCCAAAATATCGCCCCACATGTATCAAAAGTCGAATTCCCTGAGATACACCACGATCTACAAGATTACTGATTATGACTACCAGCCCTTTTTCGATCAGGAATCGACAGATAAATATGATACTAGGGACCGAAAATAGGGTTTTGAAGCCTAAGGATGCGGAAAAGGTAATGCGCATTTCACTTACTAAATAAAGGAACAACGACTAATAACCCACTGCATTACAAGCCACAGCGCTAACGACTATAGTGACATAAATTACTTATATGTCAATAATTGATTTTTAAGGGGTAATAAGAGCTAATTACGTAATCAGGTACATACAAGAGATTTCTTCTCGTTCTTGTAATAAGGATTCCAGCCAAGACTCATCACCATTTTGTACACAGGTCCATCGTTAACTTGAGCCCAACCTGCGTAGACGCCTGTGGCAGCCGAAGGCGGCAAACTTTGAAGAGCTTCATCGCACAAATTTGCTGAAAATTTTATATTGGAATAAAACATGAATTCAAACCTGTTGGAATTCCCAGCTCTCTACTACCTCGGCCAAAACCATGAACGACTACTCCGCCTACTTTAAAGATGTACGAGTCCACCGTCATTCCGTAGGAACGCACAACACCTTCCAACTAATCATCAAACCACGCGTGCAAAGAGGCCATTTTATATAGGCCGGCTAAATGATCTTATAGCCAATCACCTGGCAACAGCGAGTCGATTTGGAAAAAGAGTTGTGCAATTAACTTAAAGTATTTTATTGAAAACAAAAGTGGATGAAGCAATTCCATTCATTAAGAAACCTAAACCCGAAAATTTTTATATTGTGTAGAAATATTTCTAAATGCTTACTTAGTCCACCAAGGCTTTCATTCAATATCTCTTCCGCATTTAACTAAGTAATTATTTTTAATCACTACTAGTAGGAACCCTAATTTTAAAGCACCAAAAGATTTTTCTATTTAACATGCACAAAAAGTGCATGCTATTTGCCATGGTCGTCAAACAATCAATCTACGATTTCCAAAATCGTAATTATTTTCGTTGGTAACACTTTAAATTTAGTTGCTTTTTTTTGTGTGCGTTGGTGCCCATAAGATTTAACCTATCCAATGGGTCTATATTAAACCCTGGATTTGCATGCAGAATAAATCGTTTTTCGTCGTTAATATACATATTGTAATAAAGTATCAACATTTGTCTAATATTACTAAAGCAAAGAGAATTAAATCAGACTTTTTACTCCTTAACGGTTAGTGCTTTGATTCATTTTCGAATATATTGCGTTCGAATATATTCTACGCCGGGAATAAAGGCACAAATATTACTTATCCTTAATGTGTTTAAATGTGTTCTCATTTCAAAATCATCGTCTAAATCAATGGAACAGCTGACACTTTAATCAAACTTCGGAATTTTTTTCGAAAATAGCCTCATTTTTGAAATCTAATTATAACAAACTTGGTTCTATCTGATGTGTTCTGTTGAATTACTATTTGGTGTTTAACATTGAGGTCAGGTGATTTACAATTGCTATTGTTAACTCTTGACACCATCCGTAAATTCAAGCAGCAGGCAGTTATTTTGTTCGTTAAATTAGAAGGCTGACATGGACTGTGGGTAACGGTGACCAGTCCCGCCAATAGTTAATCAAAAGTGCGCTAATAAGTCTGCTAAAAGTCCTCAGGATGCCAAATTTAGTCTGTTATGTGTAATAAATTCTGCTTGGAAACATCGAAGGATGATACAAGGAAAGAACTGTCGTAGGATTATTGGAAGTAACAGATAAGCTGAAAATGATTGAAATGAGAGTCGAACTTCAAACATAGGATTAAGTTTCATCTTCTAGGCACATATTGTACAGCTTTGTTTAGTCGGCGCCAATGCAGTATAGGCTTTGTCGTCAATCGTCATGCTACGTCGGCTTTCAACGAATGGGGTCGTAGAGGATTTGTTACTAAAATATAGTCACAATCGAAAACGCATTTATTGAGGTTGCAGTTTAAAATTTGCCTTATTTAACGTCAATATTCATTTGTCTGAGTACTTGTAGGCTGATAATGAGGCCAAAATTACTGCTCAGTTTGCTGTGCCATAATAACAGAAGGCAGAGCAGAATTAAGAAGCATGCTTATTTTCGATGGCATTTACGTCTGCCAAATATTCTTTTTTATTGATGCTAAGACTTCTTGTTGTTATTTTAATAGACATTTGTTGTATTCCCCTTTATGCGATCAGTTAAGCCTATGTTTTTAATGTCTCACTTTGATTGTATGCAAAATGCTGAATGCGTTACCTGATTTATTTGCGCTTTACATTTCAACCTCTTAGATGTAATGTAACTACATTTATTGAGTGTGCATTCAACTTTCTGCCCAACTGACTGCCGATCTTTCCCGAAGGTTCAGAAAAATGGATGTGTTCAAACATGTATAAGCCCATGGAAGTGCTACACAGTCAGAATAACGACTGTTACGTGTAACCAGCTATTTGTTGCCATACCTTTGTACTAAAACCGGATTAAATGTGGAATGATTAATCACCACACGGGAAATGCCTTGTGGTCTATCATTAAATCGATATAAATATATTTGGTTGAACACTGAAAGCAGAAGGTGTACTGAAATGGTTTAAAGCTGCTGTCTAACATGTATACACCAAAGCAGAGCAGTCGGCTGAGAGAACCGATGTTTCACCTAACTGAAATCACACTTTAGTATTAAAAATAACTAGTCATTTACCCTTTAGTGGTTTTAAATTCGAGCCTTACCAGTACCCACTAACAATGTCACAGAATTGGTACTTTAAACGTTTTTAATATTACCTAGAAAACTAATCTTATTCGCCAAATTCAATTGTGACGGATGCTGGTATTGCAAAATTTTGCAACCCACAGGTAAAAATTTTGCAATACCAACATCCACTTGGTACTTGGTATACGCGAATGCGACTTTTGGTTCGGCCAACAATTAGGCGACAATTCAAAGTCTCGGGCCGCAAAATCAGACCTTAGTGAAAATTCAAACCCAGCAGGCACAATGCCTGAATGCACTGGATGTGCAGTTTTCACTGTTTGAAAATCAGCCGCATTGTAGCTGCCGATGTTATTCTTGGCGTGAAACAAAGACGACTTTAAGCTCTCAAAGGGGTGGCGTTGTGCGGTGTCAGAAACACTAAGCCGTGGGTTAGAAACGCCATATCAGAGCACAACTAATGCCCTTTTACAAGTACACAAAAATCGATATCTTTTGTGGTGGGGGATTTAGCGTTCCCTACGCTATTTTTGGGATGTTTTTGCTCTCAGGTGTGTGATTTAAGCGTGTGATTTTCCTTGGCAAATCGCATCAAACAAAGACCAATCTTGGTGGACACTGACCTATTAGGACATTAAATTTTCCACAATACATCCAATGCGGCGATCATAAACGCGATTGGATCATCTGGTGTAGACTCACTGTTTGAAAATCAGCCTCATTGTAGCTGCCGATGTTATTCTTGGCGTAAAACGAAGATGACTTTGAACTCTCAGAAAGGCTACCTCAATAAACCAGGCTTAGATATTAAAGCAGATCTCTGATAGCAAGGACAAGGACGAATTTAAAAGTAAAGGCGGAAGCACAATTGACATGCAGGCAGGCCAGGATGCTTCATTCGTTTTACCCACATTCAGTAGTTCTAGATTTTTATTCCATGTAAATTTTGTGCCCTAAGGTGTGAAAACGCCAATTCCAGATTCACAGCTAAAGTGATTTCTAAGTAAGCCTATTTTTCGCGCCTTTTTTATTTTCGTTTGAGTTTTTTGATGGAGAAAACCATAGAAGTTTGAGCACAGATTTTATGATGTGTGATTATTACCTACTGTCAGTTATCTATTTTAATCTATTTTAAAATCCAACATAATTTAATGTTTAATGAATAGGAAAATTTGAGCAAATCTGGCGGGAACTCATCCCTCCATGTGATTTATCCTCACGAATAGCTCAGTTGGGTTAGTCGTCGGGGCGCAAAATGATAACCTCACAGCATGCGGTGGAATTAAATTTCGTGGTTTCGTATGACCCATTCAGTAAAAACCTCCAAATCGTTGGGTTACGTCTTTATGACAGTCTAGACTTCTCTTCAGGTGTGCTTGAAACATGAGGCGCATTCAGGTGATGCGTGAGTGTCATCCATTCGTTTGACTTGGATGTTACTCAAATTTCCGGTTCATAATACGTCGTGACAAAAATTAGGTACCTTGATGGGAGGAGCGGTTGTGTCGTCAACATCAAATCAAATCAATCGTCTTAAGTTACTCTCACTTGTCTCAAACATCAATCAGTGGCTACTGATCAATTCCCTTCAGCAAATCTGGGATACTCGAGTGGAGGCAAAGGTTTGTTGTGGGCCCCAGCAAGTGGTCTTTAACCACGACGGAGCCACGGAATTAATCCTGGCCCGATTACGCTTCCATCATACGCGCGATGAAGAAAAAAGTTGGAGAGAACGTGAACACGATGTCACGATGATCACGTGAACGTGATGCCTTCGTGTCGCGTGTGGGGTTTGCGCGTGTGCATTTACACCTCGGACATGTGAGTCATACATGCGCTAACATTGAGACCTTGGTGTGAGGATAATCCATGGTAAATATCCGTGTGAATGAGGAGGGAGTTGAGGATCCTCGCGACTGGAGACATGCCGCGAAAAGGGGAACCCCGTGTCGGAGGTGGTGCGACCGGATCAAGGGGTGTGAATAAACACGACTCACAACAGGTTTTACCCTCAACCATTGACTTTGAGTATACCACAGCGACGACCAATCACGTCGTTTCATCAGCAGCTCTCCATTGGGAGGACGTATTGGTCGACGTCTTTCAGAAGGAGTGAGAGTACATCGTATCTGAAACCACATGTCCAGACAACTTGTTGCTTTTATTTTAGCTAACCCCATTGCTAATCAGGGCGTGTCTAAACACGCGCCTAATCCCACTCACCCTCACTCACACACTGGACCTTATACAAACACGCTGAATAGATCAATCCATTAAACGGTTGTTTCCGTAACATACTGTCCTCCGAATCTGCCGGAAGTACATATGTATCCAAACCAGACCTTTGTAGAAGACCCGAGCCTTATGGTGAAGACAGACACCGCAGGGCATGTTTCACTGACCAACCACTGGCCAAATATATCTGTAGTGGATCGTGTTGATTCACGTCCAATAACCCTGTCCTCGCAGCTTTCAGCACACCTCCCCCCTTGTCAAGTGAGACCGCTGGTTCATCACCCCGCTGAATGTACCATCAACCACCACTTCCCGCTTTGGTCATGTGACCTCACAAACGCCTGTGTTCATATTTACATGTCCACTCAACTGTAAAACGACAGAACTTTGTGCAGCCACCTAGTAAACGGTCGTGTCTACCATCTCTGGACTTATTGTCTTTCCGGGTTAGTCTCGTGGTAAAAGGTCCCCAACACATCAATCAGGTGCAGTCAATTTGAGTTCACTACACCGACTGCACCGTCCCCTTACATATAGCACAAGGCATCCGCCCCTGTCGCAGATTGGCTGTTGATCTTCCTCGTTGGCCAATCAAACGCACAACGACAGTGGATTGA